TGAGGAGCTGCCAGTTAATCCATCCATCCATCCATCCATCCATCCATCCATCCATCCATCCATCCATCCATCCATCCATCCATCCATCCATCTATCCATCCATCCATGCCTTGATCGCAGCTCCGCCGAACTCGCAGCCAGGACGTGACATTTCCTCGTGGAACCCAGCGCTGCTGCCTCCGCACAGGACTATCTCGGGGACCCGGGAGAGCCTCAAACCTAACGCGGCGAGCGAGGCCGCCAGCGGCCGCTTTCCCCGCAGCGCCGCGGGGATCCGAGCACCCGCACACAGCGCCCACCCCCGAGCCGAGTTCAGCGGGCTCACCCCCGCCCCTCCGGCCAGCCCGGAGCCGCCGCCGCCGCCCGGGGGCGCCGCTGGTGGGGAGCGCGCGGCGCCGCGGGCCTGGTGGGCGGGGCGGGACGAGAGGAGTCCCCGCCCACCTCGAGCGGCGCAGCCAATGGGGAGGTGCCGGGCCGTCCTGCCCACCGATCTCCCCGCTCACCCCCGGGAGATGTAGCCAATGGGGAGGGGAGGCGGGGCAGGGGGCGGGGCGGCCCGCGCCGGGCCCGGCCGTATTTACAGGGCGGGCGGCGGCGGCGCCCCCGTGTCAGTGAGGCAACACTCGCTGGCGTAGCCGGCGCGCCGGCCGCTCCCAGCGCTGCCGCTCCTGCGGACCGGGCCGGAGCGGCGAGGGGAGGGCGAGGGAAGGCAGAGAGCCGCGGCCGTTCCTCCGGCCCGCCACCGCAGCGGTGGCCGCGCCACGGCTCTGCCCGCGGGCAAGCGGATCCTCGGCGCTCCGGTGGGGCAGGGGCGGGCGGCGGCTCGGCCGTGCCTGCGCTGCGGGCTGCGGCGAGCGGCGCCGGGTAAATGGATCGCCATTCCAGCTACATCTTCATCTGGCTGCAACTGGAGCTGTGCGCCATGGCCGTCCTGCTCACCAGAGGTGAGGGGGTGAGGAGGCCGCGCCGGGGCGAGCGGGGTGCCCGGGGGGCTGCTGCTGCCCGAGGGCAGCCGGGCCGGCGCTGTCTCGAGAGCCCTCGCCGAGCCACTGCTGACGGCGGGAGTCACCGGGTCTGCGCCTACCGCCCCGTCCCTCCCTTGCCCTCCCTTCCCACCTGGCCGCCGGTGCCGGTCTGTCCGGGCGCGGCCCCGCGGGTGTCCCGGCGGCAGCGGAGGGGCGGCCGCACCCGGCCCCGTCGCGGCCCGCCGGGGCTCTGTGGTCGCGGGGGCTGTGGGGGCTCTGTGGTCTGTGGTCTGGCCGCCCGGGGAGCGCCCTCCCGGGGCAGAGGCGACCCGCTGGCTGCCGGTAATCGCCATGCTCCGGGGAGGAGGTTAAGGGATAAGTTAGCGCGGTGGTGATGTGCGACAGTATTTATTTATTTTGGAAGGAAGGCTGTAATTAACCCTAAATAACAGCCTTGCAGCGTGCAGGGGGGAGCCTGCTGGCCCCATCAAAGCGGGCAGAACAGGGAGTGACTGAGTGATGTGAAGTCGCAGATACTGAAACTATGTGCCTGATAATGATATAATTAGGGGATCACAGACTTCTGGCTGCTGTTGACTTCAAAAGCTTTAAGAGAAGCCTGCAGTCTCTCCTGTAGCCATCTTGACTAAAAGCAGACATTTTTCTTTAATAGCTACATACAGTAACAAGAAAGAGGAGGGAACAGAAGGGCATTGTTCACTGTTTCAAAATACTAAATACCCTTTCTGGCCTTTTGCATAGAACAGGAAGAAACTTTATGAATTGACAGAAATACAGTTTTAATACAGTAATACAAAGTCCATTCTGTTTCACTGAAAACGTGGCTTTAATTAAAAAGCAGTTGAATTAACCTGATGACTAGCCTGTCAGATTTTGTTCGTAAGATTGTCTTAAGTCAATAAAACATAGATTTTTAAACGTGATTGTATAAGCAGTTAAAATGAAAATATGTGTATTGTTTCACTTTATTCCCATGCTGTGCTGAAACTCATGAAAGGACTGTCAGCTATGGTACTGTGCCATGTTTGCATCTTACTTTTAACTCTCATACAGTGAGAAAATTATGAAGAGTATTTTTCTCAGAGAGGGTAGGGGGAAGACCTCATATGGAATGCTTAGAAAACGATTGAGTCTTTTTTTCTGTAACATGCTGGATGACAGTGAGTGTGAATTCATGAAAAATTAGGTTACTTAGTCTAAAAGCCCAAGGGAATTGGACTGGAGACAGTGAGACACTCCATCATTTGGCTTCTATTAAGCAGAGTTATTAAAGAGCAGCGGGAACTTCAAGGCCTGGAGCCTGCAGTAGCATTTTGGAGAAAGTATTAAAGTGGCCCAATGAGGGGAAACTAACTTGGTTGGGATGATTTTTAACATCTTGCAGAAACAGTTTTGTTTTAGGTATAGGTGATAAGTAGCATCATAAGAAGAGGTGGCAGCTGGGAAGCCTGTAGTTTGATTTTTTGAATTGCTGACTGTAGAAGGAAGAAATCTGACAATTTGATCGACTTTAAAAGCCTTGGTGCCACTGTAATGGCACGTACAACGGGCACATCAGAAGTAGTTTTAAGTCCATTCTTCCAAGGATGACTCCAAAATCTGGCTTCCTCTTAAACCTTGGCTCGATGGCACATTGAATTATGTTTGAGTTGCAACTTGCCTAGAAAGAGTAAGTTTTCACTACAGCACAGGACATGTTTAATTCGTACCAGAGCAGTGTGGAGAGCACAAAATGAAGAGTTTTATGAAGGGAACCTTTTTATCGCTTCCTTCAGAAATTTTTGAGGTTTCCTGAGATTTTTTCATAGAGCCGGTAGAGGATTTTCAATCCAAGTGTTTCCCCTTTTTGACTGCATGTTGGATTGCATGTGAAATTGGAGAGAGGAAAGGGGGAGCTTTTAGCCTTGTAATTTCACCCCATTTAATGACTTTAAATTTGAGTTGAGAGACATTGCCTCTGAACAGAATAATTGTAAACTGGAACTTTTTTTTTTTTTATAATACTGATAAAAAAGCCGTTTTGCATGAATAACTACTTAAAGAATTTCTTTCTTTCTGTAGAAATTACAAATAGTTGCTCAGTTTCACACAGAAAAAACCTTCCTGACTGGGAGACTTGGATGGTAATGGTTCTAGCTAATAGCTTTATAAGGTGTTAGCTAAACCTGTTAAATTTTGGCACAGTATTGAGAGGTAATAAAGAATTCAGCAGTTCCGATTTTTTTTTTTTTCATTTGTCACATAAATATTTAAACCTGGTATTTTTGTTGTGTGCTTATGCCCGGTTAAAAAAAAATATTACTTTTATAAAAATAGAATGCTGTTCCTGGAGTAATGGTTAAAACATAGATGTGACTTTCTTCTAGGACTGAAAGTGTGTGTTGCTTTTAGAACTGGGATTTCGCTTTAAATGCGGTTAAATGCAGCTGCTGACAGCAAGTGGAAGTAGCTATAAAATGGTCTTGTTAGTTATTTACCTTCGAAAAAAAAGCCACTGTAACATCCCCTGCCCCAACTCTCCCCCAAGTCCCTGTTTTAGTGAAATGCTTTTGCTTTAATTCAAAGGACCGTGGTTCTAGTAATTAAAGCGAGTCCCCCAAGGCACTTGCAGGGATTAAGGTTACAACGAGGTAAGCACTGTACAGTGATGGGAAGGAAACAAGCCAGGCTCTTGTGGATCTACAGTCTCTGGGTGTACCTCAAAACTGGCACTGAGTTTGGTTGTGTGATCCTTGTGGCTAATAAGAATATCTAGTGAGGTGTCCTTAGGGAACCAAATTCTTACCTATCTTACACCTTTTTTTTTTTTTAGGTGAGATCAGATGCTACTGTGATGCTGCACACTGTGTTGCAACCGGCTATATGTGCAAATCTGAGCTTAGTGCCTGCTTCTCCAGACTGCTTGATCCTCAGAATACACATTCCCCGCTTACTCATGGCTGCTTGGACTCTATTGCAAGCACAGCTGATATCTGCCAAGCCAAACAAGCACAAAACCACTCTGGCACCACCACCATGTCCACATTGGAATGCTGTCATGAAGATATGTGCAATTACAGAGGACTACATGATGTTTTGTCTCCTTCCAGGGGCGATACTTCAGGTAGGGCAATAAAGCTTCAGTGAAATCTCTCTTCTGGCCATCAGGCTGGCGACAGGCTAACCCTTGTGCGTCTGCTGTTATTGATTTAGTTGTTAATGTAAGTAGAGACACCAGAGAGAGGAGTGGGTGGCTGGATGCGGGGGGAGCATCTCGGCCAATTAGCTTTTTTTTATCTGCATTAATATTGGAAGTCTGTCGGAGGGCAGAAATTGTGTGAACAATTTCTATTGCATTTCTGCGACCTTTTGCCTTGGCATGGCTGGGTGCAGACAGTAAAAAAAATACTGCGCCACTAATATGGCTGCAGGCCTTGTGCCAAGGTGAAGGAGGAGTTATTTTGGCAGGAAAACAAGTTTTATGGACACCTGCTGTGGTCCAATTGGTACTGTACAGCTCAGTGTGTTTTCCTTATGTATCCAATGTAACCTGGAAAAGAATCATATGTCTCTGTGTCACAAACAGCATATAAGTTGTCTTCCCTCTAATAAAGCAGACATTTTGCCTGATCACATTGACCTAAGAGCATTCTGTCTGTCCCCCTCCACCGTTAGAGTCTCTCTTGCCAACTTTTGAAATTACTTCTAAGAATCAGTGGCAGTGATTTTCACTGTGAAATCAGCTCTTGGAATAAGAAATTCCATGTTATAAGCCGTCTTAGAAACTCATCTTTTTTTCTTTACCAGGAATATTTTCTGTAGATACTGCAGAGTGTAGCTGTTGCTCTTTAAACTAGTCAGTGTGGGATTTAGGGGAGTTGCTTATGTGTAAACCAGTGTAAATAAATCCTGAAATAAGCTTCACATCTTTCCCCTTTTCAGGACAAGGGAGCAGATACCAACACGACAGCAGCAGGAATCTCATCACCAAGGTGCAGGAACTGACTTCTTCAAAAGAATTATGGTTCAGGGCAGCTGTAATTGCTGTTCCTATAGCTGGTGGACTGATCTTGGTGCTCCTTATCATGCTGGCCTTGAGGATGCTCAGGAGTGAAAACAAGAGACTGCAAGATCAACGACAGCAAATGCTCTCCCGTTTGCACTATAGTTTTCATGGACATCATTCGAAAAAAGGGCAGGTGGCAAAATTGGACTTGGAATGCATGGTGCCTGTGACTGGTCACGAGAACTGCTGCATGACCTGTGATAAAATGAGACATTCAGACCTCAGCAATGATAAAATTCTTTCGCTAGTCCACTGGGGAATGTACAGCGGACATGGGAAGCTGGAATTTGTATGACCAATTATTTTTTAATCTGAGCTGAACTTGCTCTCTGAACTCTAGAAGAAGGCCTTTGGGTTCTGCTGGACAGGAGCACTTTATCTTAAAACAAAAACTCTCATAAATCATCTTTGAGAAACAAAGGACCTCACAAACAGAAACTTGGATATTTCTTCGAAGGATTCCAAAAGTTGTCTTATTTGCACAGAGTAAAATACACTCAAATGTATTGTTTGCTTCAAAGTTATGAAAGCAAAAGTTAGAAGCTGTAAACACTGTCACCAGGGTTATCTGAACTGTAGGGAGCTGAGAACTGAGTTATTATAATAAACTGTGTGCAAGCTCCTATGTTTCCTGACTTATTGTAAAGATTTTTTAAAAATATATATATTTTGTCTGAAACTTGCTTGTGGCTTTTGTTTTGGAAAACAGGTTTTTTCTGGGGTGGTAGTGGGAAACAAATCAAGGTTATATGCATGGTAATGCCGTGCATAACAATTAGATTCTGAAAACAGACTCTTTCTACTCCATGAAGGAAATTAGGTGGTTATTCCAGAACGAAGGTGGCAGCTATGTTGTTTAATACTTCAAGTAACAGTGAACCTACATCCTCAATTCCTGGCTGTTGAATTTTTGTTCATAAACTCAATGAATTCTTCCAAAGCTTTGTGTGATAACTATTTCTTCTTCTCTGTTGATGAAGAAAGACTTCCTTTCTCTGTGCAAACCATGTCAGAAAGTGACTCCTAATTCTTTATAGCTGGTTTTCCTCCCTTGTCTCACTATTCCTGTTTCTATGATCTGTTTTCCTTTTGCACCTTTTACACTCGAACTTTTGGGGGGAGGAGAGGGAAACCCCAAAACCACACTGCCTATTCAGCTGTGGTTTGCTTTTTTCTTTTCTTTTTTTTGTTTTTTTTTTCCCTGTTTATAGCCCTTCTGGGCGTAGTGGAAAGCATCTGCCTTGCTCTTCTGTCGTGTAACTAAGTATCACATGCTGCTACTTTTGTGTGGGACTGAAGTATCAACAGTGTTCTTTAATCTCTGGCTCCTCCTTTATGCTCTTGCATAGGTGGCTTTTTTTCCCTGCCAATATTTGTGCATTTAGTTGTTTCTTACTCCTGCAACTAGTTGGCTTCACTTGATCGTTTCATTTATTCAATGCTTTGTTGCTAAAAACAAACAACCTCTGGATTATTCAAGGAATTTATTGTATTTATTTTTCTTGCTTTATTAGACTTTGCAGTAATTAAAGTAGATTTGCTTAAAAGGCTGATGCCACATCATGGTGAAAGAAGCATCCAAAATGCTGCTGCAGAAGATAAAACTTGGCAAGAGTCTACTATTCATCTATGTTTTAAACAGCTTTAGAAGTGCTTCTGCCTCCTGTTCTGGCTGTGATGTTGAGCTCCTACTGTTGCCAGGAGTGAAAAAGGGAATGGCACACACAGGGTTACAACAACCTTGCAGCAATGCTCTGATCCTGAGTACTGTTTACTGTGGTAGATTCCTTTGGGATATGCAGCCTGAAATGCAAAGGGATGTAAGCAAGGAAAATCTATCCCTCTAAGTCATAAGCTGGCGTTCCTGAAAGTACACTTAAACTATGCAGTAGGGTTGTTGTTGGAGATAAGTTGGTCACTTCGCTGTGCAAACAGAGGTATTGATATTGCAAACTTACCCCTACAGTTAAACACTCACACCAGCCAAGTGCAGTGAGAGCCTCGGGAATGCCAAGGTCCCACCGTGCCCATGTTTGCAACATTAAAGTGCAGTTTAGAAGGATTAATTTCTTCTGTGTACCTCAAGCTGCTGACCCTTTTTACTTCCTCAAAGTGCCTGTGGAGTTGCTTTTAATGCAAAAAATTGTATTATCTGATTTCTACCTCCTTCTGCTGCTAACGTTTAAGAAATTACATGGCCATAACTTCTTTTGGAATATGGCCTGTGGTCTTCTGGCTGACCTTTCAAAGTGCTGCTTTCCTATAAGAGCTCTGCCCTTCCTTTGCACTGATCTGAAAGTCTAGGGCAGTTGTCTGCTCCACCAAGTGTATTATTTTTGGGAATGGCTGACTGGGAACTTAATGCCGAAAGAGACAAATACTGTCTGTCAGGCGTAGCTGCACCAGTAGTTACTATGACTAGACAAGTTAGAAGATCTGATAGCTAAACCTTTTAAGTGCTTTCTCCAGGAATCAGAGGGAGCATGTTGTACAGTCATTTAAGCATCCTGTGACCTTCACCACTCATTTGCTGCTGATTTGAATACGTAAGGGCTTATTTATGCTTGCCAATAAAAGGCTAGTAAGACCAGGATGCTCTAATTGGCCCCTTGCTGTGGAGATGTTTCAAAGAAGAAAAGATCTTGTTTGCCATCCCCTGCAGTCATGGGAGCAGTGCCACAGAGTCGCTGAGGACGGGGCTTGAGTTCGCAGCTCCCGTCTCCTGGTGTTGTTCTGTTACCTGTTGGAGTACATCTAGTTAAGGTGTGGTAGCTGATATGGCTTGGAAGTTTCTGGTCTATGAGTCTTCTAAGCTACTAAGACGAAAATTAACTCTCTCCCAGCTGAAACCGGGACAGTATGAAATTTAGATTTCCGATTTATTTTAAAGCCTCTGTATACAAGAAACTATAATGAGTCTGGTGTCTGTCTGGCAGCAGCTGTGTGAGTTATGGAACGAGCCCCAAATCTTTTCACTGAAACTACTAACTGCAGAGTCCGAAGGGTGTCGGAGCAAGCAGTAGACAGCTGCATTGCCGATTAGTATTTCTGTAGTGGCTGCTTATGTAGCCTACAGACCTCAGCAACACCAGCTTTCCATTCAGAAGACTTGTATTCCTGTGACAAGTAGGGTCTTTGATGATGTTCCCTGCTGCTGGGTGCTGTACCAGCATGGAACAAGTCCTAGACACCCACTGTACCCAACCTAGTGTTACAACAAATATTAACAGCTGAAGAGCCTGGCCAGAGCCTGAAGGCTGAAGAGGTGAGACAGTAAGCAAAGACTGTCCTTTTCAAATGCATTTGAGTTAAGAGCCTGGATTTGCCATTGTGCTACACACTCTCGGATTTCCCCTGCAGACAATAACAAACGCTCCTTTCTTTGAAACCCCTGCAAGCCTGAGAGTGTAAGAAGGGCAACTCTCTCTATTTCCAACTGAGAAGGTCTCTCGGATTGGAATAAATAAAATCAAAACTCCACGATTTAGTAGACCCCATGCCTCTCTCTTTCTTCGATTCTTTCCTCAAAACACTAATAGTTGTGGCTTTTCTTATGTCTGTGCCTCTCCTGGCTTTGCGAGCTGCTGGGTTGGTATGTCTCCTCTTAACTCCTGCTGAACTGATTCTATTAAAAACCCCTTACTCCACAGGGGGCTTGACCTTTTTCTGAAATACCAAATGCGTCTGCTTTGGAAATCACAAACTTCTCCTCTAAAGAGCTTGTAAATCTGGTTTCAATATTGAGTGATTACAGGCTGTGCAGAGAGCTTGAAAGTAAGCAGCCACTTCTGGTAGCAGACTGCTGGAGCTGAGCTGCCGGAGCTGAGCGCGACTCTCATTTTTCACCCCAGTGTGTGTTTAACATAAAACCACTGACGTCAGCTGATTCACCCAGATTAGTGGTGGGGTGACTGGTCAGACTCTGGTCGCAGGACACTTGTCTTCTCTTATCAGGACCCCGGAATCCAGTTTTTGTTGTTGCACAACCACTTGTTCTGTCGTAAACCCAGGGATCTCATTGCAAATGGATGATGCCTTGGAGGGCAAACACCCAAAAAAAGCCTGGGAAAAGAGCAAGTTTTTTTCTTCGGTGTAATGGATGCATCTGCACCTTCCCTTGATGCTGTTGTGATTGTTAAAACAAAGTATGAAGAGCGAAAATATATTGCCAGGCTGCCTGTGTGGGATGGGATGTGCCTGTTAGCTACTGGTCAGTGAGATTCCACGGTGAATAAATGAAAGCAAAATTTGGCCTTCTCATTGAAAGGGAAGGAGATAAGAAGATTACCTACCAAGTGAAAAAGATTTACCAAGGAAAAAATGAACTACTGTCAAAAAAGACCCCACCATAATGAGGCACAAGTTGACTGAATAAAAGAAGAAGGTCTCTGAAGGAGGCAAAATTGCCTTAATTTTTTTTTTTTTTTTCAGATGCTTTCCCACATGGAGGTGACTGGAAGCATGTTTATTTTGTTCCAGTGTCTGGTCACTTTGCAGGAAAAAACTCTTCCTTGTTTTGATTCTAGGAGTTACTTGGGGAAATGGTATTTTGGATCTGTCATTGTATTTTATTTCTGGGAAAAAAAAATGAGAGGTGCTGTAAAATTATGGTTATCTCTTGGGAGGGACCCAGTGTCTCCAACATTATGAATCCTGGCTCCCTCTAAATAAACAACCAACCTCGTTTTCTTTGTTTCACCTCTAACCCTCATCTGCAGCCTTTACAATCCCAGGAGGTGAATCCTGAAGTAAAACAAACTGCAAGGGAAGGAAGCCAGGAGGGAGCCACAGTGCCTGCAGATTAAGAGCCTTCTGCTCTCCAGCCAACCTTGACAAAAGGATTCAATCCTGAACTGACCTTCAGGGGGAAAAGCAAAACAAAATCCACCTTGACTTGAACTTTCAAGACTGCAGCAGATTAATGCTCAGTTTGATGTGTACTAAAGGGAGCAGAAAGTTAGAAATGCCAAACACCTGTCTTGCAAATCCAAATCCTAATAATTTAACAGGAAATCTAGCCCCAGATCATATGGCTTGGAAACAGTGATGAGCAAATCCTAAATTTTTCAAAGTCATCCAGTGTTGCTAAAAGGGCCTAAAAATGTGGCTTTTATTCCCCAATGTGAATCTCTAGGCAAATCTATAACATTCAGTTAAGCAAATAGTAAGTTCTGTTGAAACATCAATGTTTAGATGCAACTTTTCACTGAATAAATATTTTTGTTTGGACGCAGGTCCTGTTCCCCCCCCCGCCCAGCTCTGCTCTCTTCCCATAGGCAGGAGGGAAGAGAAGTCAGCCCTGACTTCATGAAAAACCACAGTGGCATGGATTTAGGGTGATTTAATTTTTTAATAGCTTTTATTAAAACCAAAATGTTACAGTATTTTTCTCTTTCTAGTTATCACACTACTTAAATATATTAATGGCTGTGCGGTTGGGAAAAAGGAGTTAAATGTATTGTTTCACTCCCCTTGACTATCGGCTGCATTTGAAAAATACTGACCTGTGACAGCTTGTCAAGAGTGGAGCCTCTTCTGTAACTGCTTTTTTACCTTTTAGATTAAACTTTCAGGATAGTGTCTGTGCAGCAGCAAGGCAATGAGCACTTGCCTTTCTCTTAACATTTATTTTTACATTTCTATTTTTCAACCAAAAAAAGGTAGAAGCAGCACAATGAC